ACACGCGCCGTGCCTTCGGATTCCACGCGCCACCACCTGTCAGTGGTGGTCCCCACGTGCCAAGGTGGGGTGCCACGTGGCAAACGCGCCACGTGGCGCTGCTTGGTCCATTTTTAAAAAAATTTTTTTTTTTTTTTTTTTTTAAATTCTCGTTTTTTTTTTAAGTTAAAAGTATTTGGGCGGTTGGGTTTGGGTCCATTTCGGCCCAACCGGTTCCCTTCACAATTTTTTTTTTTTTTATTTTGGTCTGGGCTGGATCCTGCCTCCAGCCCAGTACACGGTTTCCCCTTTTTTTTTTTTTTGGGTCTGGGCTGGATCCTACGTCCAGCCCAGTAAAAACCCTTTTTTTTTAGGAGGGGCCAAAACGACGCCGTTTTGGCCCCTGGAGGTCTCACCTTCAACCTCCAGCCGGGTCGCCTTGACCGGCTTCTGCAACCGGGTCGGGTCCGACGGACCCGTCGGACCCGATTTCTTCTCTCCTCCGTTTCTCGCCGTCCGGTGTCCGTTTTTAGTGTACTTTATATCATTTTCTTCGTTTTTCGAGCTCTACGCAATGGGATAAATTTTGAAGCCTAAAAACTTGATTTTAAGCAACCCAAAAACGAACAAGCGTACGGCCAAAATATATACTGTATAAAACGATTTTCACAGAGGCAGAGAAGCAACCCAATATGTCTAAACATAAATATAAGATACAAAAACTATCATATTGGAAGTAAAATGGAGGATTTGCATAATATATTGAAGCAAATCGCAAGTTACTCAGACCGAACAATCAGAAAAAAAACTGATATGAAACGCAGGCCACAGAATCTATAGGAAATATCACATGCTCTGATACCAATGTAGGATTTCGGGCATACCTGGAGTCTGCAGTAAAGTCAGGTTGCCACGCGGAGGTCCGATCACGGTCACGGAGTCGGATCTGGGAGACACAGCAAATGCACCGGAGGGAAAGCTTTGCAGAGAGGGAGGGAGGAGACTGGAAAAGGCAGGAGGGGAGAAAAGAAAATGAAAAACGAACGTGCGTACCAATAACTGATGCTACGGTTAACTTATCCATGCATATTTTCAAAAAGAAAACTGCCTCCCTCGACATAACTGTTCCCGCTGTTGGCAAAATATATTAAAGGGCAAAAATTGCACTTTAAGACCCACAAGTCTTGTTATTTGCACCAGGACCCCAAATGATACTGGGCTTGGGTCCAATCCACCAAGGGTGGACTGGCCCATTTTCTTACAGAGACCAACATGAACAACAAAAGCTCCACTTCGCCTGCAAGGATTGGGGTTTCTTCCAGGTACTCCCATTTATGGTTCAGTTGTCGTTTAACAATAAGATTCTTTGATTACTTATAAAGCTATTTGTGCAGATAATAAATCATGGGGTTGCAGAAGAGTTGATGCAGAAGATGAAGGATGCAGGAACAGGATTCTTTGATCTGGAAATGGAGGAAAAGCAGAAATATTCAATGGCAGAAAATGACATACACGGATATGGGCATGCCTTTGTGGTTTCGGAAGATCAGAAATTGGATTGGGCTGATCTCATGTTTCTCGTGACCCACCCTCCTCCATACAAAAACCTTAAATACTGGCCACTCACAGTACCAGGTTTCAAGTATGTAACTGATCACTGATCTTGTACTCCTACATTAATTGTTCTCTCATGTTTCATGTTACATATCAATGTCTTTCCCCTTTTCTTGTTCAAAACCTGTGTGGTCAGGGAGACAGTGGAAGAATACACAATCGAAATAAGTAGGGTATGTGAAGAGATATTTGGGAATCTCTCAGTATTGATGGGACTGAAAGAGGAAGGCCTCAAAGAGTTGCACCAAGATATCAAGCTAGCAATGCGTATCAACTATTATCCACCATGCCCTAAACCTGACCTTGTTCTTGGTATCAGTCCTCATTCTGATGGTGGCTCCATAACCATTCTTCTGCAAGATGACCACATCACTGCTCTTCAGATTCATCACCATGGCCATTGGATTCCTGTCAAACCTCTTCCCGGTGCTCTCGTTGTTAACGTTGGCGATGCTCTTGAGGTAAGCACCGGCAAATTTCAATTCATCTAAGACTGGCACAGACCATGACCCCACAAGTTTTCAATCTTATGCTACACACACACACCACACCACTTTCACTGAACTTATACAAACTTCATACTACCTCTAGTCCCTAATACTATCACTAGTTCTAAATATAAGAGTTATATTGTAGTGTAAATTACACTACAAATTAGTTCTTATATTTAAAACCGGAGGTATAGGAGCTAGTAAAGAGTTAAACTTACTTCTAAATATATGACTCAAATTTATTTTGCCCATCCTATTTATCCAAACTAACCCTATTGATTGTACATATTAAGAGAGTTTGCATCAAAGATAATTTCAATCCAAATGATTTAAGAAGGTATTTTAGAAAAGCTAACATTTTTAATAAATAACTAATTTAAATAATTTTCTTAATCTATCTAAATTAGTTAAGCAGATCTTATATTAATAATTGGAGATAATATATTAGTAATCCTAGTTCTATCCTATGAGACTGAGAAATGTAGGTTTGGAGCAACAGGAGGTACAAGAGTGTTGAGCACAGAGCGGTGACAAATGAAAGCAGAGGAAGAATGTCAATAGCAATGTTTGTGGCTCCACATGATGAGGCAGAAATGGGTCCATTGGAACCAATACTGCGTCATGGTCCTACCTTGTACACAACAATTAAGTGCATTGATTATGCCAGGCACTACTTGAGCAGGAAACTTGATGGCAAAGCCCTTGACTTTCTTAAGATTCACGCCAACTCCAAAATACCATCAATTTGAAAAACACACGCCCAATACAAGTTCTAATCATGTTGCATCTCTTTTTCCACGCTCTTTCGTCAATATACCGTCTCAATGACTCTCTGCTCTTTAATATAAAAACTTGTTTAACTTTTATTTTGATTCTAAATATAAGACTGTAATCCATTTTATCTATCATATTTGTTTACTTATTTATTTTCTAAGCCAATTCTTATAATAAAAGTAATTCTAGCTAATATATTTAACTAACAAAGATATTTCTAAAAAAACATCTCTTTATTACAAATAATTAACTTAACTAGATTTTTTTAATCTACTTATCAATTAGCTCTTATATTAAAGACCGGGAGTAGTATTATAAAAATATTTTCTTGAATTGGTCTGGAGTACCGAAATAATGTGAAATTAAGCTTATCTCAAAAGTTGCAAGTTGAAGGCTCATTTGTAATGGCTTTCCAAATATGGCCTAATCATACACCCAATCCCTATATTTTATTGACAAATTAGTTATTAAAACCTATGAATATATTTAACCGGAGAGTATCACAGTATAGTTACTACTCCTCCGGTCCTTATTATAAGACCCAATTTGACTTTTTATTTGGTCCTAATTATAAGACCCAATCCATTTTCTCTCTTATATTTATGCATTTTTTTTCAAGATAATCCTTCTAATAATGATATTTTTAGCCAATATACTTAATTAGCAAGGATATTTTAAGAATAACAACACTTATTTATTATAAATAACCAACTTAACTTACTTACTTAATTTCCTCAAATAAGTCAATTGGGTCTTATAATTAGGACCGGAGGAGTATAAAGCAAGGCGGCAATATCAACATGAGAGACACAAGGAAAAAATGGATAAAGAGAAGAACAAAAATGAAATCTCATGCACCGCCAGCCTCCAAAAGTGAAAATTAACTGAAGTATCATATTTTTTGACCGAAAACTAAAATAATACGTTCTGTCTTTAATATAAGAGTTAGTTGGACATTCAATTTGGTCCTACATGTAAGACTTCAATTCACTTTGTCTCTTATATTTATCTATTTTTTTCAAGCTAGTCCTTGTAATAGTTATATATGTTAAATGTTTCATTAAATGGTAATTCTAACTAATATACATGATTAACAAAAGTATTTTAGAAAAGACAACACCTATTTATCACAAATAACTAACATAACTAATTTTCTTAATCTATTCAAATTAATCAACTAGCTCTTATATCAAGGATTGGAGGTAGTGTCATATCCAGTTAGTCATTTTTATATTCAGAAAGTATTAATATTTTGTAAATTTTGTACAAATAAAGTATTGGTATTTTAATTTTGGTACCTTCTCGCTAATAAAATTCTTAATGGAGGATTTTTCTCCCAATTTCTTCTTATATTGTTAACAATTAGAAGGGTTTGAGTCCTACATTCTTTCAAATTTCACTGAACATTCAATTTTAATTAGCCAAAACCTACCAGTGGTGAGACTGATTTTGCTTTTTGCGTAACATCCAATGCAAAAATTTATTAAAAAAAGTACAAACATAATCAAGTAACTAGAATCGTTAAAATTGTCTATATGAGTTAAACAGGCCACCCACCTTGAATCGTAGATTGAATGAATTAGCCAATTTAACTCGATTTGATAAGTTGAAAATCATAACCCAATCAATCCACATAACAGTTAAAAAAACAAAAAAAAAAGGTAAAATGTGCAATTTTTATGAGCACATGCTTCAATATTTAAATTTAAACACTATTTCCATATATCATTATCATAAACCTTTTTAATAAAATATAATAAGTATTTACTTTCATTAAAAGTATACACTTGCTTATTGTTGGCACGTCATACATTGGATTCTTTAAATGTTTTCAATTTTCAAATATGCATCGCTGTCTCTAAATCCATGTGACCACCTTCATTCCCTCACTTGAGAAACAATATAGTATCACCCAGCTTGGGCACATTTGACGATTTTTAATGAGGAATCTGATCACTAAAATGTTTCCAAATTACACACAGATGCCTCTTTTTTATTTTTTTTTTTTTTTTTATTTAGAACCTCGAAGAAGAAGGTCGGCTGACAAACCAATGAAAAAGGGTCCAATCCTAACACCAGATGGTACTATAAAACAACAAGGCAAAGCTTTATTTTGAAGGTGAGAAAAGGAACCAGAGAGCAATGGAAATGAAATCAGAAAGCAAAAGCTGCAAGGAAAAAGACGAGGGTTTAGGGTGCGCAAAATCCTTACCAGTGCCACGTGTGCAAGAGATAGTGAAGAATGATGCTCACAATGTTCCTCACAGATACATAAGAGACCAAGAAGAGAGACCAGTTTTGGATCAACTTCTTCCAATTTCTTCTGAAATTCCTGTTTTAGATTTCTCATTGCTGGCCAAAAGAGATCAACATGAACAAAAGAAGCTCGATTCTGCCTGCAAGGAATGGGGTTTCTTCCAGGTATACCCAGTGAAAATTTTTATTCGGAGTTTGTAAGATTATTTGATACCTCATGCATTCCAAAATTCTAAGCACAGCCTCTGAAAATACATATCTAGATAATAAACCATGGGGTGGGAGAAGATTTAATGCAGAAGATGAAGAAAGCAGGGAGAGGATTCTTTGATCTGGGAATGGAGGAAAAGCAGAAATGTTCAATGGCAGAAAATGACATCCAAGGATACGGACAGGCCTTTGTAGTGTCAGAAGATCAGAAATTGGACTGGTCTGACATTATGATCCTCATGACCAACCCTCCTCAATATAGAAATCTCAAGTACTGGCCACTTACAGTAATAGGTTTCAAGTATGTGTTACAATGCTCATGTTCTTTACTTTTTCAGCCATTGTTGCTATTTGTAGAAATTGTTTCTTCTTTACTTTTTCAGCCATTGTAGCTATTTGTAGAAATTGTTTCCAAAGTTTCACTTTTTAAGAAAAAAGAAACCCACATGAACAGGGAGACATCGGAAGAGTACACTAGAGAAATAAGCAGGGTAAGTGAAGAGATACTTGGGAACTTATCAGTGTTGATGGGAATGGAAGAGGAAGATCTAAAAGAGTTGCCCCAAGTGGTAAAACTAGGAGTGCGTATGAACTACTATCCACCATGTCCCAACCTGATCTTGTTCTTGGTATCAGTCCCCATTCTGATAGTGGCACCATAACCATTCTTCTGCAAGATGATCACATCACTGCTCTTCGGATTCATCACCATGGCCATTGGATTCCTGTCAAACCTCTTCCTGGTGCTTTTTTTGTTAATGTTGGTGATACTCTTGAGGTACCCACAATTTCAATTTATGGTCTTCTAATTCAAACATGGTATATTAGCTATGAGATAATGATTTGGATACAATAATGCAGGTTTGGAGCAATGGGAGGTACAAGAGCGTTCAGCACAGAGCAGTGACAAATGAAAGCAGAGCAAGAATTTCGATAGCTATGTTGGTGAGTCCACATGATGAAGCAGAAATGGGTCCAGCGGAGCCAATGTTGCGCAATAGTCCTGCCATGTACAGAAGCATCAAGTGTATTGACTATATGAGGCATTTCATGGGCAGGAAACTTGATGGGAAAGCCCTTGATTT